TTTATTATGGCTATTTTTATCTCCTCTGAACAAAACAGAAAATGTGATTTGTCATCTGACATTGAAGTCACTTGTTATTTGAATGAGTTGAACAACATCACAGGTGGCATTAGGTAATTACTGTTTTACAAAGTTTGGGAAAGTCATCACTCTCCTTTCTAGTTCCATTGATGTGTTTTTAAGATATTAAAGACTGTTTTGATGTTTTTGTTCTGTCTGGGTGTCTGTGGTCATCTTTATTCAGTTTGTTGAGTATTTGTCTTACCGGTGACGTACAGGTAACGTCCTCCTGGTATATTCTGCTTTACCTCCTCTTTCTTTCAACTTTATTTTTCTCATGTCTACGCACATCCATCTGATTGCAGCCGCCAAACCAATGCACATGTCAGACTTGAGGGTCATCAAAGCAGAGCTACGAAAAGGGAAAAATGAAATGAAAATGCTAAATTACAGTTATAGGAATCAGTAAGGATGAGGACAGGAAGTGGGGGAGAAGTAAACGGGTCCAAAGAGTTCAGACACTGTTATAACAAGCAGACAAAGGACTTAAACCTCTGGGATTATTTAAAGTCTGTGATGGAAGTTGTTGAAAGGCAGATGCTTTCAGTGATGTTTAAATACACCATTCAGCCACAACAATACCCGTGGAACATCATTGGTTATCTTATTAGACGGCTTAGCAGCTTTTAAAAATGATCATTCTCTTAGTATTTGAACTTGACCGATGTTTGAACCTGAGCCAATAGACTCATAAACCTATTTTTATTCCTTCACTTGTGAGAGTTGAGTTCCCTGACTAAAGGCCAAATTGTTTTGATCTCTCAGAGGACACGTATTTATTGGAGGATGGATGGTGGAAATAAAGCATGAAAGCAGGTAAACAAAGACAGCAAGTAGATAAAGCTTTATTTAATTCGACAGACTGAACTGGGTCTTTCTGGTACGTTCACTTCCCATATGGTTCCTCACAAGTACTAAGAGACAACTTAGAGACTTTAAATGAATTGTGGTGTTCCTGGGTTCCAAAGTTGTGCTGCTAATACCATGTTCCCTTTGATTGTTGGATTTGGGCTGCTTGTGGGGCAGCATCTGATCCCTACGCCAAATTCACCACAACACAAGCATTGAAGGATAACTTGTCAGATATATAACCAGCTTTGATGGAAAACAAGAGTTTCAATGTCTGGGAATGGCAACAAGCTAATGACCAAGTGAAAATCTTGTTTGGTTTTTGATGTGAATCCAGCAAAGTTTTGGATTGTTGTTTCGTTTTTACAAAGCTACGTAATCAAGAGGGGTTAAAAATACATTTCCCAAACTTTGTGGAGCTTTAGAAATGTTCTGGGGTAGAATAGTATGACACAATATGTATTTTAAGGTATACAAGGACCTCAGAAACACCRGAGCAGCCTGGGGCCTGTGTCACAGTGGTTAGAGCTGTCGCCCCTCAACGAGAAGGTTGCAGAATTGAATCCTGGCCAGGATGACCTTTCTGGTTGGAGTCTGCGTGTTCTCTCAGTGCATGTGTACTGGGTGCTCTGGTTTCCTCCCACAGACCAAAATCATGCATATTGGGTTATTTGATAAATGTTAATTCTCTCTTGGTGTTTAAGGTTGTTTGCCTTTGAATATCCCTGTCATGGACTTGTGACCTGTCCAGACTCTTGCAGAGTGACTACTGAAGACAGGCAGGCTTATCTACTGATCCTTTCCCCTGTCTTTAACTGGGAATATCAGTTAAACTTGTAATTAGCCTCGTTCGCTGGTCTGGATGACATTTTAACAAATACTTCTATATATACAGCGTTACTATATCCACCCTAACACGGCAGCGGAGTCATGCCCTGCGATGCCCCGAGGGTGTTTTCTTCAGTGCGTCTTCTCAGGCTGGATTGGCCCAGAATGTTTGTTCTTTTTTCCCCCCAGTTTAGTGGTTTCTCTGAACTTACTTTATTTTTTGCTTCTCCTCCTAGAATTACACATCAGAAGTCTATCATTGCAGTCAGGGCCTTGCTTCCTAGAATAGAATCATAAACTCGTTACATTTTATATTTTTGTTTTTCTGTCTGTGAAAGACGCAGCTTTTTGGTGGATGGTGTTCAGGACGTGTGTTTGTGTGTGCGTGTTTACTCGTATGAATGACAGTTATTCTGCAAACCTAATGTGTTGATGACATAGTTAGACACTGGCTGTGCACATCTGCTGTGGATATGATGAATATATGATATTCAGTGACAGAGGGGGCATGTCCTGAGTGTGTCAGGGGTGTGTCTGTGGTCACAATGACAGTATAAGACTCTGGCAGGTACTTGGGTTTTCCATTCAGCCGCTCTAACATGTACAAATCTGAGATTTGATTCTCTTCTGGCTGAATCTGTAACATTAGACAAGTCTGTTTTTATTTCCTCGACAGTTTTCTTCTTTTTGTTCTAGGTAGTTTTTTTTTTCGGTTTCATTCAGGGTCAAGTTTGATCTGGTGTTTTTTGGTAGAAAAGAATTAAAGGTTTGATTTGGACATCCAGCATCCTTACGGAGTTGCCAGCTGCAGGGCTGGGGTGAGTATGCTGCTCAATCTTTCATCAATTTGGCTCATTAGCCAAAATTCTTCCTTTATGTGTGATTTGATTGCAGTCTGAGCCTGTTTGAGATCAACCAAGAAAAAAAAGAGATCAAATAGGATATTCTTTATATTTTTCCTGAACATCGCAGGATTTTCTTTTTTTAATTTCTATAACAAGAACCAGTTTAAAAACTTCTGAGAGTCCCATTAATCTTTTCTGAATCTGTCATTCATGTCTATAATTTTGATTTCTCACCACTAATTACCTGCTGTGTGGTGTCAGGCTGAGGTCCACCCTCATGCTGTTTAGATGCTCCGTCCTGTAATTATGGCTGCAGATGAAAGTGCCGCGTGGAGACATTTCCTGCTACAATCCATCATGCTTTATGCTGCCATTTCCATAATGTGCTGTACAATCTTTGGTTTGTCATGTCCAGCAGATCTTTAACTTAGAAAAAATAAACCACAAAGTTGATTCTAATATTTTGTGTGTTGTTTGATGCTGTAACAAATGTATGTGAAGAAAAGAGCTGATATTAACAAGTGACCACAGCTAGAATCTCTGTTGAATGTCTGTAGAGGAACAAACCATAGCACAGTTCTGTTTCAAACAAGCTCTTGATATGGAATTTCACAAGTTTTTTTGTGACATTTTTCTGCAGCAAAGTGTGGAAAATTATATGGAATATAAAATAAAACCATTTTGATTAATTTGCAATAAATGTTTACCTACATTAAGGCCAATAAACATTTATTGCAGGACAGGGGTGTCACTTGGTTTTAAGGACAAGGGGGGCTAAGCCCCCAGGAGATGCACAGAATTTTTGTATATCATATATTTGTA